TTTTTTTTTTGTACCAGGGATCGAACTCAGGACCTTGTGCTTGTGAGGCAGGTGACAGAACCACTGAGCCAAATCCCTGGCCCTAAACTTTTTCTTTTTTTAAATATTGAAACTTAGTTTGATATAACTCCCCTGATTTAGGTAAAACAAAAAGGAACTATTGTGTGTGCACATGTGCACATGTATGTGTTAACTGGTCCAGGCAGCTATTTGGGGTTCTTTAACATAATTCCTTTGTATCTCTTTTAGTTGTTTGTTTATTTTTCTGCCTTCATTATATTATAAATTATTTTAAGGAAGTATAGATATTTTTATTATTGGGTTTTGGGAATAAACATTTGTTGAAAAAAATAACAGAAAGATGGAATGAGTTCTGGATACATTTACTCTTGTCCAATTATTTCTTTATGTATGAAGGGAAATGAGTTTCAAAATCTTAAGGAAAAACACTCAGGATGCTGAGGTATGAGAATTTTGAGTCCAAGCCAGCCTAGACTACATCATTAGTTTGAGGCCAGACTGGAATATGTGAAATTCTCAAACAAAACAAAACATAGCAAACCCCCCAACAACAACAACAGCAGCAAAAGGCAAATAACAAAAATTAACTCAGGAAAAAGAGGCCTCATTTTTTTTCTCTTCTATTAAGGTTTGGCATCTCCTTCATCACAGATACTATATTTGGGCATTGGAGCTATGTAGAATAACTAGGTATAGACACGTTCATACTCAGTTGCTGAGCCACTTTGGAATCTACGGAGTGTTCAATAAAATTGTCTTTATTTTCTCTGTTTTATTATTGTTTTTAGTGATCAAATTTAAGAACAGTCAAGAGTTAAGAGGGATCTATTCCTTATATGTTAAATTGTATATTTTGAAGACAGTTAAATGTAGCATTTTCAGTATATAAAAAGGGCTTTTGAAGTTCTTACCTTAAATTTTAAACTTTTTATAAACTATCTACCTTTCCTATTCCCAGAATGGCTCAAAGAAGACATAAAAGAGTAAGAACATGGACTCGTCACATAAACATTTTTAATAAGGATTACATCTTTGTGCCTGTAAATGAGTCGTGAGTATTTTTGAGTATTAAAAACAAATAGGAGAGAGTTCAGAAAAAATTTTATTTTATTCTTAGGCTAACATTCAGTACATAAATCCAAGGCATTATTTTTAAGTTTCTAGGGAAATTGCTGAAATAGTTATTTATCTTGGAATTTAGTTTATATGTTTATATTATAAATAGAGTGGAAAAATAAAATGAAAATGGCTAAAATATTTTCAAAATTAAAATAAAAAATAGGGTGAATCTTCAATATTTACGAGAATAAAGTCTTTAAAAAGATGATACTATGTGTGTTTATCAAAGCAGGTCCTTAAAACACTGTATGAAAATAAGGTATGAATCGCTTGGACTTGAAGTCATTTTATTTATAGCCTTGGTAATTTTGACTTTTTAGTTTTAGAACACCTGCTCTACATTATATCAAATATTGCAATGGCTGTCTTCAAAATAAGTTTGTCGTACTCTGCTTTCTCAGATGTAGTTCTAGAGCACATTCTACAATATTTAGATTTTCATGTTATTATAATTATTGTTTATTTTTTAAACAGATCTCACTGGTATCTTGCAGTAATTTGTTTTCCATGGTTAGAAGAAGCTGTGTATGAAGATTTCCCACAAACTATATCTGAGCAATCTCAACAAAACATCAAAACAATAGGTGATATTGTTAAAGCACATGGTATTTTTAATAACAAGGACAAAATAAAATGGTTATGGGCAATAGTGTATGGAGTTAAAAGAAGTGTAGTTATTTATTATTAAACTTACTAGAAGGAATAATAAAAATTTTGAAATTTTAATGATACCTACTCTTAGGTATAGATAAAATACTGTTCGTAAGTTATGTTGTTGATGCCAAGTTTTATTACAGAATTTTTAATGAATACCTTTGCTAACATAATTAAGAATTCATGCCGTAGTTCTTCAGGCATGGCTTGACATCTTATTTTTTTCTTAATATGATTTACTGTATTTCTTGTAGACTAGTGATTCAGAGATAATGCAGGATCTTTTATACTTTCATGATTTTTTTATTATGGTTCTAAATATTAAGTAAGCAAGCCTACTTGATTTGAGAAAAAAAAGATAAAAATGGTGTTTTATAACTATAGCCTAAGTAGCAAGCACAATTTCTAATAGCCATTTCTGTTAATACTCCTCAAAACGCAGGAGGGTGGGGGGAGAAAAGCTGATGAAATAACTGATTATTTTCATTTTTCTCTAATTCATTCAGCTTCAGAAGTAGACTTATGCAAATTATATGGTCATAAGGGGCCAGGGATTTGGCTCAGTGTTTCTGCTGCCTGTCTTGCAAGCACAAGGGCCCAAGTTCAATCCCTGGTACCAAAAAAAAAAAAAAAAAAAAAAAAAACCCAAAACAAAAAACAAACTATATGATCATAGATGAACCATTAGTAGGCAATTTAAAATAACAGGCATGGGCCGGGCATGCCTGTAATCCCAGCACTCAGGAAGCTGAGGCAGGAGGATTGCTGTGAGTTCGAGACGAGACTGAACTACATAGTGAGTTCCAGGTCAATCTCAACTACATAGTGAGACCCTGTCTCAAACAAACAAACAAACAAAATAATAGGCATGTTAAAATAGGAGACATTTGACAATTGTCTTTTTATAAAAATTGACCTTGCTAACTATTTCAGATTGTGGCCCTGGGGTTTACGTGTTTGTTGTCTCATATTGTCTCATATTAGCATACCATCATCAGATTTATTTATTACTTGAATTGTTTATATCGTTAATCATGAAAAAAATTAAATGGATCCTCAATATTTTTAAAGTATTGCTTTGCATGTAAGTTACAGTTTAAACTTGTATAAATTATCTGTATTAAACATACAAAGAAACTTCATAATTGCCTCATTATTTTGTAGACCATGATCTACAAACTACTTCAACACTGTCCTCAAATACAGAGGATTCTCAAGTAAGTGTATTCTGTGCACATGTGAAAGCAGGAAAACTCATAAAATTATATGCAAAAAAGGATATAGTTAAGCATGCTGGGGTGGATATTAGTGACTCATCCTTAAATTATACTGCTTTATGATTCTTTGACAATTTTGGGGAAAGAGAACATGAGAAGTTACCAGTTTTCTTATATTTGTTTAGCTTGTTTTGACTTAGAGAAATAAAGGTACTATCAAGGTCTGCATTAAAGAAATTAAGTTTGATCCATTATTTTTTCAAATTTATGAACAGAAGTATCACCAACAAAAAATTCAATTTCCCATCCCTCTCCCTTAATACAGGTTGATACTCTGCTTCATGTGCTTCCAAGGAAAGAAATGTATCTCTAATGACATAAATTCAGTTAGAGAGAATGTATGTAGACACAGGTCACATGATCTTGTTTTTCATTCTTTGAGGTGTTAAATAGATAGAGGTCAAGTTTCATATTGGTTTTTGAGGCCAGGTTAAGGCTCCATAACTACTTGAGACCAATGTAAAATTATATAAACTATTATGTTAACAGTAGAAGGAAATAAATCAGTGAATTTCTGAAAATGAAATTAGGTTACTTCAAGTCATGAAAAGAACTTTTACTTAAAATTTTAATTTTAAAATTGAAAGATTTTAAGGAGCAACTCAATATCAATATATTTTAGTGTTAATTTCAAAGTTATAAAAATCCATGTTAATTTCAGAGTACCAAGATGAGTATGTCATTTGCAAAGAAAATGTGTAAAAGGTAAGTAAGTATGTAAGTATGTGTTAGTAATAATAGTTTTTTTTCATAAATTTCAGCATACTTAATACAAGTGTGTACATCTTTACTTCTTTCTTTGATCTTCATAGGCCATGCATTCTCATACTAGACTCCTTGAAAGCTGCTTCTGTACAAAATACAGTTCAGAATTTACGAGAGTAAGTGATAACAATTGTAACACTGTTCTGTTATCTAAAATCTCAGTAATTTTGAAACTACCATAGAAATTAATGAAAATACTATATCAGGAATTGTATTTTAGTATGTGCTTAAATGAAGTCTTCAAATCTAATCAATGGGGAATATCTTCTATTATGTGTGAATATTTAAGTATTAATAATTCTCAGGGATTGTATCGAGTAAATTCAGAAATTATAATTCATAATTGAACAAAGGGCATAACTTTACAAAAGTGCATTGCAAATATTAGTGATTATCAAAACTATCACTGGAGAAAAAAATAACTCTTAGATTCACAATATTACATGTAAGAATATATGTGTGTATGTGGAGGTATTATGTAGTTTACTATGGGGCCTGGAAAAAAGGAGCAATGAAACTTTTGAGATAATTTGTTAATTCATAATATAAATGGCTTTATGAATTTGAGTTGAATTGTTGAAGAAAAACTACCTGTTAGCTTGAGTATTGTATTATTTTCTTTAAACTGGTGCTTGTGCAGGATCATAAGAATATTTTGCAGTTAAAGAGCAGTCTTTGGAAATTTAGTTTGAAACAAGACATCTAGCAGTAAGTGTTTCTCTGCCTTTGTGAAAGTATTGCATACTGATAGATTTCTACTCAAGTTATTTTATTATTTCAGGTACTTAGAGGTAGAATGGGAAGTTAAGCGAAAAACTCACCGTGAATTCAGCAAAACAAACATGGTTGACCTATGCCCTAAAGTTCCTAAACAGGATAACAGCAGTGATTGTGGAGTATATTTACTGCAATATGTGGAAAGCTTCTTTAAGGTATGTGAAGACAAGTTTTTTATTCACAATTAGCAGTATGTAATGACACATTTCTGGGAGTTTGATTTTTAAAGGTTTGGAGGGAATGAGAGAGAGAGAATAGGGTAGGTATGGTACAATATTTAAAGAAAATTTCCCCAAGCTAGAAGACCCATTTATTCAAAAAGCTTAGGACTGCAGCTGAAGAAATACAATGACAAAATGTGGCTGTTATTTTCTGGCTCATAGAAACTCCATAGGAGCTGTGACAATATTAAAGACAAAAATTTGCATGCAAAGAATCAACACATTTGGAAGTATCATTTCATTAGTTTAGACATTACCGTGTATTTATGAAGTATAGGTATTATTTGTGAAGATAAGTAAAGGAATAGGATGTTTGTGGTCAAGAACCTGCTTAGAAAATGCTTAAAGGTGTCCTCAAAAGATGAGAGTTATAGAATGCAGTTACAACTTTTTGGTGACTTTAATATCAGGAAGGAATGATAATATACAGTAAAGATGCTACACATTTATGGAAACCATTAAACGTCTGTTGGATTTCCCCCGTCTTTTATTCCACACTGGGACTTCATCATCTGGTCTGTAAAACTCTTTTGAAATAGATTTGATTTTGTTTTTAAAATATTCAGTATGCCTTTTTACATGATATATTCTGACATTGTTACGTAATTTTATAACTACAAGATGAATACCATGTAAAATTCCTGGCGTATAAAGCTTAAAAATTTAAATCTTGTGTTTCTCAAATTTGTGCACTAAGGCTTAGGTTTAAAAAAAATCCATCTGGGGAAGACCACTAAACACCCATCAATCTTGTAACTCTAACATAAAGCATTATTAATTCTAATGAAAATACCAGACAGTAAATCTCCACTGACCATTTATTTGCACCTAGAATCACAGCCAGTGCATTTGGGCCTTAAACCCTAGGGCTCTTAATTCCTTCTTCAAGATATAAATCCTTGTAGCTGGCTTCTAATAATTCTATCACGTTTATAAGCATATTGTAAGGGTAGACTTCTCTAGAAATTTAAAAAATGTAAACTAAGAAATGTTTTTACATTTGCAACTTGTATTTTCTTGGTTAAGTTTAACAGAATAGAAAATGTAGCAGTTCTTGATCATTTAAATCATTATTTCTTATACTTTGGTGGCACATTTTATTTTATTTTTATCTTTTGACTTTTTGAGACAATGTCTTGTTATGTAGTTCAGGCTGGCCTTGAACTCAGTCTGTATCCCGGGCTGACCTTGAATGTTGGTGATCCTCCTGTTCCAGCTACCAGAGTGCTGGGATTATAGGCATGTACCACAACACATAGTTTATTTCTTTTTTTTTTTTCTCTCATTGAGTTTATTGGTACATTTTAGGGATACAGTACAGTTACATTCATCTGGGATCTTGTACCTTTACATGATGGGTCTTGCTTCTTATTTTTTCCCCTATCACACAGTTTATTTCTTACACTTGAAAAAGAACCTTTTGCAGGACTTTTTGGGGCTTTTTTTTTTTTTCTGAAATTCTGTATCACCAAGGCTTTCTCTTTAATAGTTTAAAAAATGTGTTGGGAAAAATGGTGTTTAAATCAAACTGACTTCTGGGTTATGCTGATTCTGGGTTATTCTGTGTGCCAATTCTGTTTATGATAACTCACTCACATATACGCTGTAGCAGAACAATTATTGTACTGTACAGTGGTGGCAAACCTGTGGCACTTGTGAGGCAGTGGGCATGCAGAACCCTCTATGTTAAACACACAAGCCAAGTCGTTAGGGGCAGTGTTCGCACTTCGGGATAAATGCATGGCTTGGGGGTTGCAGTTTGGGTACTTGGTATCTAAAAGTTTCTCTGTCACTGGTATATAACTTTGATGTTCAGAAGTTAGCAATATAAGTTCAATCCCCGATACCAAAATAAAAAAAAAAAAGAAGTTAGCAATATAATTAAATATTCTAAAATTGATAGTGATGATGGTTACACAACTCTGAATAAACTAAAATCCAGTTGAATATTTTAGGGGAATTGTATGCCATGCAAATTAAATCTTGGTAAAGCTGTTTTTAAGAAGTTAACAATTTTTCATTTCTTGTATAAATGAAATTAAAACAAAATTGAAATTTTATGTTAAAGTGATTGTATTTTTCTTTTTCTTTTCTTTAGGATCCTATTGTTAACTTTGAACTTCCAATTCACTTGGAAAAATGGTTTCCTCGTCATGTAATAAAGACCAAACGGGAAGATATTCGAGAGCTCATTTTGAAACTTCATTTACAGCAACAGAAGGGCAGCAGTAGCTAGTTAATCTCTACAAACATGACACATAATGTTCTTTAAGATTACTGGAAAGCCGCTTACTGGCATTTGTGTTAGACAGTTCACTGAAAAGAAAATGACTTCCAGTAGTTTTATAAGTCATTGAATAGTTATTTAAAACATATAAAATTAAAACATATAAGATATGTTATTAGAATTGTCGGACTCTCATAGATGAGTGGGGATGGGGATGATATAGCTAAAACTTATTAGAAATTAAAATTTCATAAATATTTGATATTTTTCTGAGTAAATATGCTTGGATTATGCAATAGCATATGTAATGTGGGAATGCTTTTGTAGATAAAACTATGTGATCTTTACTTCCACATGACTGGGTGTTGATGGGAGTTAAGACCTCCCTGGTGCCAGCCCCAGTGCTTGTCAAATTTATTGACGAGTCACATCAATATTGTAATTCTATTCTTTGCAGCTCAAGCATGCAGTATGAATACTGTGTATTTTTTAAAGAGAAATTTAGAATCAAGGCTTCAGAAAATGCCATTTACGGCATTCCTTCTGTATAGTTTAACAAGGCATTCATAATCTTAGGAAAATGGTAAGAATTCACTTTCAAAGTGCAGCTTATTCTCAACTGCTAAATTAAATTACTTTGCTTTAAATTTTGTTTCATTTCTTTCTGATGTCACATGTGGGGATCTAAGAATTTAGTTCATTTGTTCAGGGTAAAATTTGGAACAAAAACTATCTGTCTGAAATAAGTTTTAAAAATCATATATGTAGTTAAATTTAGTTTATTTGAGGTATTGCTGTATAAATATTCACTCACACATTATCCCAGAACATATGTACACAGTTTCTGTAAGTATAGATGTCCTCATAACTTTAACAAAGAATACTCCCAAAGTTCTATTTATTAATTATTAGTACAAAATATATAATTTTATAACTCAGTTTACCCAGTATTCATCTGCAAAGCCAGATTGTTCTCATTTCTTTTATATTTTTAAATTGTAGCTTTTAGAGTCCTGTGATCCTCTATGGATCTTAAACCTATGGCGCTTAATATTTTATTAAATATTCAGGTAAAAGTTCTACTGAATTCATGTGATCATGGTGGTATTGTATATGATTAAAAACTTTAGAAACTTCTGATATCAGGAATATTTTGAGGGAGACATGATCATATTGTATTTTCTCAGATAATGTTTTTAAGAATATTACTTTAATGTGTTTTAAACATCTCTTAGATTTCCATTGTAACTGTATGTAAAGCAGTGAAGTAAAACCAATTTAAGATGAAGTTAAATGTTTGAACATTTGATTCAGAATCATCTGAATTGAGGTTGTCACTTAAGCCTCAGTGTCCTTAGTTTTTGTTAATCTTGTCACCATCTTTATATTATTACAGATATTTCTGTTTTGGGGATTTCATACAAAGGTGGTTATAACTGCATATTTCATTCCCAGTTCGTGTGTGTGTTGGGATGGGGAGACTTTTGTAGGTAACTATTAAGTTTTTTGTACATGTTACTTTGGGGAAGCAAGTATGTAAAGCATCTTGTGATTTCTTAACTTTTTGTTTGTATGTTTTTCAAAGCTACCACTGTCCTTTATTATGTTTTGGAGATTGTTTAAAATTCATTTTCCTAAATTCATGTGGAAATAATGCTTTGAGAATATCAACATTTTATATTAAACATATTTCCAGTTCATTATACTGAAGTGGGTTTTTTTTTCTCAAGAAACATGAGCCCCTAAAAAAGAAACATGAGCCATTGTTAGAAATAAATTTCTAATTTATGATGTCCTATGCATACCATATAACTGATATTTAAATTACTTTTTCTTCCTTGTTTAACAAGTATATAATTAACTTGAATATCATTTTGGGTCAGGGAAATTGCACAATCAGATAAGAAAATTCCTTCAAAAATACAAAATGCTCCAAAATCTGAAACTCTTTGAGCAGCAAAATGATACCACAAGTGGAAAAATTCCACATGTAATCTCATGTGATTAGGCATGGTCAAAATGTATAGAGTATGTGTGTTAGGTATACTTGAAACATAAGTGAAATTTTTATGTTTAGACCTTGGACCCATCCCCAAGATATCTCATTACATATTTGCAAATATTCTAACATCCAGAATTTGAAACACTTCTGGTCCCAAGAATTTCAGACAAGAAATACTCAACTGCATTTACTGTTATCCAGCATTTTATTAGGCACAACAAATGAACTTTCTTTTCTGAAAAGAATAGGCTCTTAGGCTTATGTCTTTTGTGGGCATATAAACAATTTTAATATTCTCTGGTAAGAATAGAGTTTCTTTGGGAATATGAGGGAACTCAGGTGAGAGATGGAGAAGCAGAGGAGAAGGGAGAGGGAGAATGTTTTAGTGTAAGTAGAAAGGGTTCATAATGGAAAATATTTATAGAGAAGATTTTTTTTGCATTCCAATAATTGTATTAAAACATAATAGTAGTTGGTTATATTACCTCTGCCAACTCAAACATAGTACCAAAACATAATAGTATTTGGTTATATTACCTCTGCCAACTCAAAATTAATACTGATGTTTTCAAAATATTGAACTATATCAGTCTTTTGGTAAAACTGAAGTTATCCACAAAGCATGATTTACAAAAAGTTAAAGGTGTAATGTACTGTGGTTCTTTTTTATTTTTTTTTTTTTTGAGATAGGGTCTCACTATGTAATCCAAAATTCAAGCTGGCCTTGACTTCACTAGCCCAGGCAGGCCTTGGACTTATGGTGATCCTCCTGTCTCAGCCTACCAACTGTTGGGGTTTCAGTGCTTATTTATCTGTAATATAATGTCAAAATTGTTTATATCCATTCTGGATAGACTCAGGCTTCAGGCTACACTAAGCAACTCTTTACAACACTAACAATTTATTGTACATGTTCTTACAAATTCATTGGCTCACATGGAGAATTCCAAGTACTACCTCAGCAATCTCATAATTATGGCGGTGCCTACTTACTTTTCTAAAACACAGTATGGAAATTTGTAAAAGTATATTCTATTCCTTAAAAAAAAACACCAAGAATTGATGGCAGTTTTATAGAAATAGTCCATAGTAAAACCTGAATGCTTCATCTAGCCAGAACCTAGGGTAAAGCAATTTTTCAGAGAGATAATTGATTTTGAGTTACTATGTAATATAACATTTTTCGCCAGGTGTGGTGGCACATGCCTGTAATCCTAGCACTCGGGAGGCTGAGGCAGGAGGATCACGGTGAGTTCGAGACCAGCCTGGACTACATGGTAAGTTTCAGGTCAGTTCAACTACATAGTGAGACCCTGTCTCAAAAAAGAAAACAAAAAATATTTTTCTTAATGAAACTCGTCTGAGGAAGTAAATTCTGTATACAAATTTTTATCGGTAAAACACCACCTGTTTTTTAGAAGAAATATTAAAGATAGCTCAATGAATATACCAAGCTTACTAGTTCTATGTTTTGGCTCAGTATAAGAGAGTGTTAATAAAGAGCTTAGCTGACTAGATTAAAGAAATTGTCTCTTCCCATCTGTTCTAATTAGCTTATCTCTCCTGCTTTCATAGCATGCTGGTTATTTCAGAAAGAATTGAGAGCCTTTGTAGGGATACCATTTTTATTTACATTAAAAGTTTTGCAGTGGTTATCCATTCTAAAACAAACTTATAAATGTTAAGGCCTTTCCTGTACCAATTTGTTATTGGAAACTTCAAGTTTTTGGATATTCAATTAAGAATTTGCCATCTCATTTACTTGTTTGGGGTCTAAATGATTATGTTTCCTTTTTGGGGGAAGATTTCTCTGGGTATATTGATATTTGTCTTGTTAGAAGGAAACCTTGCATCATTAACAGGTAATTAAAAATATTATTTTAAACTTTCTATGCATCTCTAGTATAGTCCTTAAAACTGTTATTTGATGTGATTGCTGTAAGAAATTGAGTAAATACTACTCTTAATCTTCGATATTTATTTTCACTGATTTAAAACATTTCTAGTAATTTGGGGTTTTCTTCTTCATTAGTAATTGCGGGTACAAATCTTTTCCCTTATTTCCTATGTTGAAATTGGATGTATACCTGACTTTGATAAAAATCTTGAATTAATGGAGTGGGGAATTAAATGTGAGAAAGATTTGCATACTTCACTCCTGGGATAGCCATTGACTTAAAAAATCCAAATCTGGTACAAATGTCATTGTCTGTTTTTCTGTTACCTTTTGTATGTTACCTTTATTCCTCATCAGAAGCCTTGATTATGCTTCCACTCTCTAGTGCAAACCTACTTATCTTTAGAAGAGATCCAAGATCCAAAGAGTGCAGTATCTTATCTACAGTCCAAAGAATCTACAGACTCTTCTCTACCTGCTAAAAAGAAACAGCTTCTGGACCACAGAGAAGCTGAGCGACAGTGGTTGCTTAGAAGAAGGCGAGCTCTTCTGTTTCCTAATGGAGTAAAAATCTGCCCAAATGAAACTGTTACAGAGGCTGTTGCAAACCATGTGAAATATTTTAAACTCCGAGGTAAGCAAACCTTTGGGTTCCATCACATTTGTTTGTCAATGTAAGTCAAAATTTGTAATAACCCAAATATTATCTACTAAATATAGAAAAGGACTTGCTAAGAATATGTTAATATAATTTTAGAGGAAAGTTTATGTTACATATTATAAATGTTAAATATTCTGTATTTAAGAAATGTTTTAAATCTTTTCAAGCACTTCAAAAATACCAGCTTATGGAACTGATAAATTAATTATAATTTTCCTTCTTAATACTAATTTGCTAAATATACCCACAAAATATATTTACAAAGATATACTCACTTTGCCTATTTAGGTATTATATAAACATGAAAATATAATCAGTTGCTTTATTTTGTAGTTTAGATATTACACAGATTCATGTGGGTTGCTTTCTAGTTAGGACACAGGTGTTTTTATAGTTAAAATGATGCCACTTCTCACAGTACTCCCTGAAGCAACAACCTCTGTTTTTAATTTAACCTTTTAATAATAATATTGCAGATAATAATAATACTTGTTATTAATAGTACTGCAGATTGACCTAGGGCCATTGTACTGAGCTATGTTCCCCCCATTTTTTTTTTTTTTTTTTTTAATTTTCAGACAAGGGCTCACTAACTTTCTGAGGCTGGCCTCTAATTTGTAATCCTGCCTCAGCCTCATGAGCTGGTGGGATCACAGGCATGTGCCATGTGTCCATCTTTATTTTATTTTTAATTAAATAGTATGATCTGAACTCACATCTTTTTGTTACATAAATTCACTCTGCTTCTTACATTTACTAGCATTTGCGTAATTGACCATAGTATATTTGTTAGACATTTGGAGGATTTCCAAACTTTGCTTTGTGCTGCTCAATAGCCAGTAAGAAGCCATTAGATGTTAAAGAGGAGACATATTAGGGCTGGGGAATTAGCTCAGTGGTACTGTGCCTGTCTTGCAAGTGCAAGATCCTGAGTTTGATCTCTGGTACTGCAAAAAAAACAAAAAACAAAAAACAAAAAAAACCCCAAAAAACAAAAGAGAGACATATGAAATGATTGTGAAATCAGGCTTATTTATTCATTCATTAATTCATCAAATATTTATTGAGTACTTACTTTTTCTATGCCCTAGATTATATGAACTTTCTTTCTGAGTTGCTACTTTAATCTTTATTTTCTTGGTTGACCCCCTTTTTTTTTTTTGGTACCTGGGATTGTACTCAGGACCTTGCACTTGCAAGGCAGGCAGCAGTGGCAGCACCACTGAGCTAAATCCCTGGCCCTAATCTTTATTTTCTTATTCCTTGGCCTTCTCTTCTTCTACATCAAACATAAAAATAAAATAAAAATGTAATACATGATATTACATGTATTTACATACTTGATGCTTTTGTTAAAGTAGTATAGTACATTTAGAGAAGCTCTTATTTACTCTTATAAATGAGAATTTATATTTCTTGATTATACTGGTGAGCTATCAAACATTCCTAAGAAAGAAGCTTTACTTTTGCTGTTTAAGTTGAGATCCATAGTCCTGGAATTTTGTATTATAAGATATATACAGAAATGAGAAATTTCAAATGGAGCCAGAAGAAAATAAAAATTTAAGGTGAATGAAAATGACAGTTAATAATTTAACAAGATATGATTTCTACTACCTCATTTTCAAAATTTGAAGTAGAACAGAGTTATCTAGAGATCTCAGCCTTTGGTTACCTACCAAAGAGGAAAGAACCAATCATTTAAGGAATGTGGCTAAACTTTGTGATTTGCTTTTTTTGTTTTTTATAAATTTGAGGCATATTATCAAACAATACACCTAAAAGGATAAGTCATTTTTGGAATAACTGACTTTAAAATACAGATACTATGAATGGGATAGTTGAAAAGGGAGATCCTAAATCTTAAAAGGTTGGGACAACACATCAATATTATAACAGTGTTTTAGCTGTTACTGTTATGGTAAAGAATAAATACTTGTGTGCCGGGGATTTAGCTCAGTGGCACTGTGCCTGCCTAGTAAGCTCAAGGTTCAGAGCCTGATCCCCAGTCCAAAAAAAAAGAATAAATATTTGTTATATTTTTGAAATTTGGAAAAAATGAATATTTCAGTGTAAGCCTTCATTTTGAAGAGATAATTTGGATTATACCCTTAAAATCAAGTGTTTGAAACTTGCCAAGGCATCTATTCAGTGTTTAAGCACGGATTTTAGCTTTTTCTATCAAGTTAATTCAGTCTAATAGTTTGCTCAACATTCTTTTGACAAACAACTTGACACAGTTGGTAGCTGGTATAAGAAATTTGAAAACAGTCTCTATTTAAGCAAGAAGCAACTGCCTTTAGCCTAAAGATATGTAAAATTACAATGATAGGACACTTGGATAGAATATAATTAATGGGCTCTTCTTAAAAATAACATTTGTATAGTTGTATCTTCCAAAATATAGGTTTATCAAGGTATACTTTGATGGATTATAGGCTTCACATTTAAAGTATACTATTGGATTAGTTTTCAAAGATATATTTAAGCTTGAAATCATCATTACAGTAGATACTCACCAATTAGTCCTAAATGTTTCCTTATGACATTTATTTATTTATTTATTTATTTATTATTTATTTTTTCCTCATTGCGTTTATTGGTATATTTTAGGTATACGGTGCAGTTACATTCATCATTGGGATCTTGTACCTTTACATGACAGGTCTTGGTTCTCATTTTTTCCCCTTGTCACTGCCCTCCCTTCACCCCCTCCTCCCTTCCCTATTTACAAAAACCATATTTCCATTGTTTCATATTTTTTCTTTCCCTTACTTCCTTTCCCCTACCTTTCCACTTCCCTTTAGCCCTTTTCTTCCTATTTCACATTGTCAATTTTACCATTAGAATCTTATATCCTTTCCTCATTACCCCTCCTTCCAGTACTGAAGCAACCAATGATTGACCTATCTATCTGTCTTATGACTTTTATACTTTATAAGTAAAATCAGGATGTACTTTTTTGGTTTGGCTTCTTTAAGTCAGTGTAATTATTTTGATATTAATAATTCTTTTTGTGTTACATAAGTTTACCTTTTATTCTTGGATAATTTTCCAGTTTATACATATACCCCAATTCAGGATTTTCAGTGATTACCCAGATAGCTATTGTCATCATTTGGGTACAAGTTTCTGTGTGAACAGGCTTTTATTTCTATTGACTAATGGTACTGGGATGGCTGGGCCACACGACAGGTATTTGTTTAACTTTTAAAGAAATTGTCAAGTTATTTTCCAGTGTAACTATACCTCTCACAGTGTTTTTAGATTCCAGCTTTTTTCACATTATTTCAACCCTTGGTATAGAGAATTGTTTTAAAAATTAGCCTCCTAGTGGATATATATATACATTTTTTTAAAAATATATAAATATATATATATATAAATTTTTAAAACAATGTATGGATATTTATATTTCATTATGGTTTTAGTTTGTATTTCTTAGTGACTGTTGACTATTTTTGAGTACCCTTTTCAAAAAAATATATATGTATATATGAGTCCATTCAATTATTTTGCCCATTGAAATAATTGAGTTGTCTCTGAGTAATCATAGGCTTTTAAATTAAGTTTATTGCTATATTTTAGGAATACAATACAGTTACATTCATTATTGGGAACTTGTACCTTTATATGATGGATCTTAGTTCTTATTTTTTCCCCATTTCTCTGCCTCCCTTCAACTCCTCCACTCATCCCTATTTACAGAGACTTTGTTTCCCTTTTTTCCTATTCTCATATTTTTTCCTTTCACTTCTTTCCTTTCCCCTACCCCTCTATTTCTCCTACCCCTTTAGACGTTTTCTTCCTATTTCATATTATCAATTATACATTTTGATCCTTATTTATACTTTTAGTTTCTCACACCAGAGAAATTATTCAGTATTTACATGTGTGTCCTATTTATTTCACTTAAGAGTATGGCCTCAATGTGCATCTATTTAGCTATAAATTATAAAT